ACCCAGCCCCCTCACCCACGCGCCCGCACCTGGTTCAGGTATGGGTTCAGGTATGCGCCTCCCACACAGCTCCCTGGCAGCTCTCACCTCGCCCCGCCCAGCTCCGCCAGGCCACGCTCAGCCTCTGTGCTGCGGGAACCAGGCCTGGCTCTGGGGGCTCTCCGGGGACTGGGGTGCCGCTCTAGAGGACGCCCTGACCCTGGCCTCAGCTGCCCTGCCCCTGCCCCCACCTGGGCGTCCTTTCTGCCGACCCCACAGAAACAGTACTTGGATGGATCCTTCTCAGAAGCAGCCGATGACCCCTCCAAGGGGCTCAGCGGCCAGGGGCGGGGGGCTGTCCATCCTCGCACTCCACGGGTGCTGGCACCTCCCTGCCTCCTGGCCACTGCACCAGGGGCAGCAGCGTCCACCACGGGGCCTTCACCCCAGTCCCGCTCCCCCTGGGTGTTGTCCCCTGGGGACTCACCCAGCGCTGCGCTCACAGCCCCGTCTCTTCTCTGGCCCCTCGTCCTGCTTTCTCTTTGATCTAGGGGACACGCTTCCACCTGGCATCACAATGGCCGCTTGGCATTTACTCCTTCCTGGGCTGTCCCCCACACCCACACGGGAATATCTGCTCCCCGTCTGTCCTCCTCCCCCGCGAGCCCCCAGCTCTCTCCAAAGGCCACAAAAATACGTGCGAAAGGAGTGACCGTCCTGGGTCCTGGGCAGGGGACCGGAGTGTCACTCGGAAGAAGGGCGGAGAGGAAGAGGGGCAGCCTGGGAGTGGGCAGGGGAGCGTCGAGCATGACCACAGCGGAGGGGTAGAGGACAGGAAGCCAGAGCTCTCTGGGCAGACATTCTGGAACTCAGGCCACAAGCCCAGGTGGGCTGGGGCTGGAGCCAGATGTCCCTGTCACTCCGTGTACACAGGGCTGCTCCTTCTACCTGCACAGCAGGGCGGCCGATGGCAGAACCTTCCAGACTCCCTGTCTGACAAGGTAAGCCTGAGCATATCCGACCTCCTCTGCTTCCCCTCCCAGACCAGCTCTGGATGAGGGTCCCTCCCCCACAAACACCGCCCTCCTGCCCCCTAACCCCACTGTGACCAGGCTTGTCTGTACTTGGGAAGTAAAAGTAAGTAACTGCCACGTAACTTCTTTAAACAAATGGAATTTGTTAAAAAACAAAACAAAACCAAACCCAGCAAATCCTGCCATTTGTTGAATGTGGCTGGTAGATCAACACTCGTCATATCATTTTCTGCTCATTCTACAGGGCCGAAATCAGAGCAATGTGCAGCGACGCTGCTGGGTGACAGCTGCCGGTGCCACCACTTCAGGAAAGTGAGCGGGGGCGTCCGTTCACACACGGACCCTGTGCCCCAGCAAGGCCCTCCCCCGGTGCCCAGCCAACAGAAACACACATTCTGCCCACTGCACCTGTGACCGAGACCTTGAATAACCCCACACTGGAACCCACGCGATGCCAGCCCGCGGTGGACGCGGTGGCCGTGCACGGGCCACCACGCAGCAGTGAAGGCGCACGGGCTGTGGGGTAAGATGACGGTGCCGTATGGACAGGTGACAAATGTGAGAAGGTCCTGGTCCCTGGGAGCCTAGGTATAAAGGGACGATGTCTCGGCAGGTTAGGAAAAGGATCTGTAAGCGCACAGTGTGCGCACAGGCGCGTAAACGGGAGGGAGGGAGGGAGGACCCCAGAGCACGCGGGCCCAGTGCGTCTGTGTAAAGGCCACAGGGGTCCTCGTCTATTTCTGCAACTGTGCCCTCACTGTGACATTACATCGGAGCAAAACGGACGGGGCTGAGGGCGGGGGGCACAGAGGACCCACCATGTCAGCGCCCCCTCCGCCCCGCGCCGAGCCCGGCAGACCAGGGGACGAGCGCGCCTCCGACCGCCTGCGGAGAAAGGCGCGCGCACCATCGTCCCAGCCGCCCCACGCCGGAAACGGCCCAAACGCCCTTCGAGGGAGGAGCAGATGAACACTGCGGGGGGTAGGCACCCCGCGGCATGCTGCAGAGAGAGCCCCCCGACTCCACGCGGCAGCGCGGACGGCTCTCGCAGACACGGGCAGGGGGCGGGACACGGGGGTGACGGGCGGATGCGCCGGGGGCTGCTGGGCTTCGTCACTCTGCTTCCAGCCCAGTTTGTGGCCCGTCACCGGGCTGGACGCTCACAGTGCTGCGCCTCTTCCTGTGCACGTGAACCATCTCGATTAAAAAGTTTAAAATTAGAACGTGCAAAGGAAAAGCCTCCTGTATACTTTGGAAAAGTAAAAAACAAATTCAGTATTTCAACAGCAGGGCGCTAGGCCCAGGGGGTGCAGAGATGAGGAGACGGCCCGGCCTCCGGGACGTGTGGCCTGCGTGTGGCAGACCGAGAGGGGCATCGTGTGCGGGACACCGAGGCAGCGGTGTGGGGCTGGGCCGTGAGGATGGACGGGAGGTCGGACTGCCCGGCCGAGCTCCCGGCACAGGCCCCCGCACGCATGGGGTCCACGCCATGGGCCAGGGCCTTCTGCTCCCTGGCCCTTGTGCCCACGGTCCCCAGGGGGTGAGACTGGGTGCCCATGCTATCAGGAGACACAGTGAATGACGGGCTGGCACGTACGAGTGTGCCGACGTGAACCCAGGCACGTCTCGGTAAGGGCGCCCGCGTCCACAGCCCCGCCGTGGTGGCTAATGAAGCCCAGCGGCTGCCATGCCGGCCGCTGAGAGAGCCCAGCCTCACGCTGTCCGAGGCCACGCCCGCCTCGGGTCAAGAGGAACCACGGTCCTGGGAAGTGGTGTGGAGAGCCCAGCCGGTGCCACTGTCCGCGTGTTCTTCTCAGGCACACGGCCGGGAGGCGGCAGATGGGACAGGCCTGTCCGCATCCCCGCACCGAGGCTGCTGCCATCCCAGCCCTCGACGCCCGGCCCAAAGAGCTGGGGTGCCCCCACCGAGATCGCAGAACCCTGGAATCGGAGCCGGGGCACAGGGCAGGGCCCGGGGCAGCCCCCGACCATCGGCCCTGCCCTGCCCATGCTCGCGGCCCGGTGGGGGTGGTGAGCACGTGGAAATCAGATCTGGGGAGCGGGCTCTGGACCCCTCCTGTTAACAGACAAGCCCTAACCCCAGACAACTGTGTGCATCTGCCCAGTGCTGACTCTTTAAAAACTAAGGACGAAAAATAATAACCAAGGACACAGGAACAGAGCCAACCCCTTTTGTGTGGGAGTGCTTTCAGCCCGCGCCGTCCCGCCCCCTGCGCCCCAGCCCACACGTGGCCTGGTTTCCAGCAGGAAGAAACTGACTAGGCCCGGGAAGCCATGTTGCAAGTGGCTTTGGTGTCGTGGCTTGTCCTGGGAGGTCGACGGCACTGTCATCGCAGATGGAGACGGAAGGCTCTGCAAGGCCACCTCCCCACCATCGAAGCCGGGCCAGACATGCCACTTAGGGCCAAACACAGAAAACAGCAGCGTCAGGAGCTGGCCAGTCACCGAATCCACTTACTCTTCTGGCAGAAAAGGATGGAATGACTCTATACCTCCCAGAGGCAGGGAAACAGTCCCTTGGGTCCCACATTCCAGGCGGGGACGCAGCTGTACCAACGAGTCAGGACAGGACGGAGCCCCGGGCAGCTGCTGCCGCCAGGAGGGGGCGGAGGGCTTCCCAGGAAAAGGGCCCTTGAATTGTGCTTCTTTCAAACAAGCTGGAGCTAAGTTTACCCAGGGGACAGAGAGACGCACGGTGTGCCCGGAGGAGCGCCCTGCGAGGGGCCTGTGCGAGGGGGCCCAGGTGTGAGTCAGGCTGCGGGAGGCGGCCCAGGGCGGGGCCCTGGTACAAATGCCCGGGGCCCTGTGGGACAGCTGGCTTTATAGCAGCAGCTGGGCTGCCGGGTGCACAGGAGCTGCCAAGTGACCGTGCAGCATGCTCCGCGCCCTGCTTCTCCTGCCCAGCCTCCTGGGGGCTGCCCTGGCCAGCCCCATCACGGGCCCTCAGGAGTGCACCAAGGGCCCGGCGGTGTGGTGTCAGGACCTGCACGCAGCCACGAGGTGCGGGGCCGTGGGGCACTGCCGAAGCACCGTCTGGACCGAGCCCAGCGCCAGGTCCCTGCCCTGTGACGTGTGCCTGGATGTGGTGGCCGCCGCCAGCGACGGGCTGAATCCCGGTGCCACAGAGACTGACATCCTGGCTTTGCTGACGAAGACTTGTGAGTGGCTTCCCAGCCAGGATGCTTCGGCCAAATGCAAGGGCATGGTGGACACCCACAGCTCGGCCATCCTGAACATGCTCTGGGAGGCGCCCGGCAGCTCCGCGGCACAGCTGTGTGCCGCGCTCACCCTCTGCCAGCCGCGGCAGGGGCACCCGGCCCCCCCAGGGCCACTCCCCGGCGACGACGCATCCGAGGCGGTGGCCCGCTTCATGACCCATGGGCCACTCAGCTTCCACCCGACACAGATGCCCGAGGACACTGTGTGCCGAGACTGTGTCCAGCTGGTCACCCAGCTCCAGAATGCTGTTGGGTCCAACGTATCCAGCTTGGCAGAAGCGACCACGGAGAAGCAGTGTGAGTCCCTGGGGCCGGACCTGGTTTTCCTCTGCAAGAACTACATCCTTCGGGTCCTGACCCCGGCTGAGCAGACACTGCAGCTCGTCCTCCCAGAGGACACCTGCAGAATGGGGGGCTTCTGTGAGGAGCTGCGGGGACCCGCTCCCCTGGCTCACAGGGCTGATGCAGATGGGGTCCCTTCTCTGGAGCCGGTGTCCCCGAGGAAGATGAGCGAGGTCCAGATGCACGCCGGCCTGACCTGTGAGGTGTGTCTGCAAGTGATCCAGGAGCTGGACCAGTGGCTGGAATCCAACAGCACCGAGGCCTTAATCAGCCGCGCCCTGGAGCGAGTGTGCTCAATGATGCCCAAGGCCATCGAGCAGCAGTGTGTCACCTTGGTGGATGCCTACAGCCCCTCTCTCATGCAGCTTGTGACCAGAATCACCCCAGAGAAGGTGTGTAACACCATCCGGCTCTGCCGCAGCCGGAGGCGGGCCCGGGCCATCCACAGGGCCCCCGAAACCACACCGTCCCCACTGCTGGACGGGGACAACCAGGGCAGCTTCTGCAACGGGTGCAAGAGGTTGCTCGGCGTGTCCGCCCGCAACCTGGACCGCAAGAGCACGCAGCGCGGCATCCTGCGGGCCTTCAAGGGCGGCTGCAGCATCCTGCCGCTGCTGTACATGGTGCAGTGTAACCGCTTCGTGGACGAGTACGAGCCCGTGCTCATCGCCAGCCTCATGGAGATGATGGACCCCGCGGCCCTGTGTGCGAAGGCAGGCGCCTGCCATGCCCCCAGGGCTCCGCTGCTGGGCACCGATCAGTGCGTCATGGGCCCCAGCTTCTGGTGCAGGAGCCCCGAGGCGGCTGAGATGTGTGACGCCGTGGAGCACTGCCAGCGTCTCATGTGGAAGGCGACACGCTTTCTCGAGGGAGAGCATGCATGACCGTGGCCGCCGGCGACCCAGCGCCGGCCAGTGCCCACCTGGAGGCCCTTGTCTCCTGGAATCCCACAGGGACCCTACGAGGCGGGTGCTGTCCTCATTCCCCTTTCACAGATGGAAACCCGAGGCTCCAGAGAAGCGGGGCTCACGGCCTGATCCTGCGGAGCCCCGTCCTACCAACTGTGCAGTGTGGCTCTGCCCTGACCGGCGTCGCCCACGGACTGAAACCAGGTGCTGGGCCACCGCCCCCTCCCAGCCCCCGTCACGGTGTCGGGAGCCTGCATGGCCTCACGCCCCCTCTCCGCACCTTGCTGATGAATGCCCAGCTGTGAGCCAGGCTGGAGGCACGGCTGGGGCGTTCGGAGGCCGAGGTGGGGGGCCCCCTCGCAGGTGGGTCCCATCCCTCTCGTCTGGCAGCTGGGGGTGGGGACCAAGTCTCATCCACGGCAGCATCACTGATTCAGGCCAGAGCCTCTCAATCTGGGTGCCTGGGGTGGCCCGAAGGTGTGCGTGAGGCACGGGTGTCTGTCAACCTTCCTGGGGACCCTCCTGGGAGGAGGCTGGCTCTGACTGCGTCCCCTAGGGATGCCTGGCTCAAAGAGGACCTTCCGATGCCTCAGCCACCACGGGACCCTCTCCCCGTGCCCCAGACCTGGCATCGGGAGCAGGAAAGCTTGTGCTGTCTCTGAATGAGGAGCTAAAAGTGAGCCGGGGAAGAGCCCCGTGGCTTCCAGGGCTGCGGGGCCATGCGGCGGTCAGCAAAGCCCTTTACCCACGGGAGCCTGTTTTCCAATCTGTAGAATAGGAGTGATCAGACCCACCTCACAGGGACAGTGAGACATTCAAGGAGGTGTCCACGAGCTTCCCCCCACCCGCCCCGAGACCACATCCATCACTCTGCTGGGACCAGCAAAACCCAGCTCGGGGTCCCCGGAAGAATCTGGCTATACGCGTTTGGAATAAACGGAGGCGTGTCCAAACCATGTTTGCTGTGCCCTCACTCAGCACGGGCCGGCTCCGGGGGCTGCCCGCCCCGTCCCTGCTGCCTCGCCTGGGGGCCCCTCCTGCGGGAAGCCCTCTGCCTGGTTTAGACACCCGTCGTGGTGTCCCCTCACCCACATGGTTTGCCGTCATCGGTCTCCCCCGTGCACTGTGAGCCCCCTGGGGACAGCCGCGGGGCTGTGTCTCGTGCCGGCACACAGTAGGTGCTAAAATGCTGTGTGTCCCATGAGGCCTGGCCCAGAGAGGCCCAGCCAGTGGTCACCTGCAGATGAACGCTCTCAGCAGAAGTGCCGGCCTGGGTGGGCAGCGACCTCAGCAGGTGCTCTTTTCCAAGGCCACACCTGAGCTCTTAGGTCAATGTCCCAGGCCCCGACCGTTGCCCTGGGAACACAGGTGTACTTGGCCCGAGTCTCTGGACTCCCGGTGCTGGCTGGGCCTGGGTCCCCTGGTCAGCCCTGTCCAGGATGAGGACGGCGAGAAGCTGGTAATCATAATGTCGCACCGACCCGCGAGCCCGGATGTGGCCACGGGAAGCCAGCAGCCATGTCAGATTCCAAACACGGAGCCTAGTGACGGATGGACTTGCAAACGGAAGGACTGTGAAGGAGCCACGGTCCCCAGGACTGGCCCTAGAGGCTGTCAGTCTGCCGGCAGGTGTCCCCTGTCTGACAGGATGGAGCTGTAGCCCCTCCTCTGGCCTGGTCTGGGGGGGATACCTGCTGACAGCTGTGTGACAAGTCAGTTTCCTGGGATGTCACTAGTCACACATGGCTGGCCTGTGAGAGCCCAGGAGATGAGTGCCACCTCTCCCAGGTGACCCACATGCAGAGCTGAGACGCTCTCCTGGACCCTCGGGCCCTGAGCTCTCCCCGTCCCCAGCCCAAAGCTGCCTGTGGCAGGCGGGCAGGTGGCGTCTCCACGTGCTCCTTCCCTCTGCTCCCCCGACCCCAGGCCTGGGAGCCGGCTGCCACCACCGGCATACTGTACGGGCGAGGCTGCATGCCGGCCCAGCCAGCGCACCCTTCGCATGGCGGCCGTCCAAGGACGATGACCTCCGGGGGACCTGCAGGGGGCTTGCTCTGCACCCCGGCCGGGCGCGGCCCCAGAGCTCTGCCTGGCTTCACTCCTCATCCTCAACCACCCCCACAAGAAGGCGCCGTCATCGCCCCATCTCAGAGGCAGGAACAGAGGCCAAGAGGGTCAGTGACCCGCCCAAGGTCACACAGCCAGCAGGCGGCCGTGCCTCTGACCCTCGCAGCCACTGCACTCAAGGCCTGACTCCACCACGCCCCGACCCCTGCCCGCTTCCTCATTGCTCAAATGCTGGGTGACACGCATGTCCGGAAGGGACAGACGGCCACGTGCGGGAGGGCCGGCTTCACTCAGGCACAGGCGGGGGGCGGGGGGCGCTCGTCCTGTCCCCAGCCCGCCTCTGACCACGCCCTGTTCTCTTTCCGCGTCTCCTCTAAGGCGCACTGTGACTTCGGGGCTGACGCGGCCCACTGCCTGCCCCCCGTCAGCCCCTCAACCGCTTCCGGCCACTGGTTTATCGTTTCCTTCATCAAATTCCTTCTCGATTAGACAGCTGGGGGACGACGCATTAGCTGATTACTGGTGCCGAGGCCACGAGGGGTGCAGGGGTGCGGGGACGCCCGCCCAGTCTGCGTCTGCGAATGGAGGGCCCTGGGGGCGCCCGCGCGGCTGGGAGCTCGCGATGTCAGCACCGCCTTCCTGACCTCTCGGCTCAGGGTGGACCGAGTGTGAGCTGTGTGCACACACGCATGTCTGCACAGCGGTGTTGTGCAAAGCAGAAGCCTAAGCCCACCGCAGCCCAGCGCGGGGGACACAGACGAGCCCCTCCGCGCTCCTTCCTCCGCCTCAGCCCCAGCAGCCCCAGACACGGCCCCCGGCTCTGGAAGCGCCTTGGCAGCCAGCAACCCGGCTGCAGGACCGGTGCGGTGGGCGCCCTGCTGGGGTCCTGCTCCCCCCGCCCCCACCTTCCCTCAGCACAGCAGCCCAGTCCGCGGGGAGGGCCCCTCCTTCTGGCAGAACTGAACCCCGTCACCTCCCAGCGAGGTCTGACCGCGTCCCTGCCCAGCGCTGCCTAGTCTACTCCCTGTGCCATTCCCCCGCGGCTGTCACCTCCATGGGACACACTGTGGACGTCGCTTATCAATCACATTTGTGGTCGGTCTCCCCTGGTGCAGCCTACAGTCCAGGAGGACAGGGCTGTCCTCAGTGGTCCCCACCACGCCCCCACCTCCTGGGACAGAGCGGCTCAGGACAGGGCCCCGTGCGTGTGCGTCAGGCGAAATTACGGACACTGGCTCTGTGTGACCGTCACCTTCAGCCGCAGTCTTCCTCTGGTCTGCCCGTCGTGGGCACACGGCCCTCCGTCCACCACCCCCCGCGGGTCTGCAGCCAACGCAGCTGGGGGAGGGAGGGGGGTTGTAAGTGACGTTCATCCCGGGGAGAACGTGCTGGAGAAATCGAAACCACGCCACTTCCCATCCTGAGTCCTGGCTCCGGGCCCAGCACCCCAGGATGGGGCCACCTCTCCTCTGTGCCTCGTTTCCCTTCTGTAGCCGAAGAGGCTGGACTAGACGGGGACAGGGCACAAGCACCCCGGTGGCCCTGGCGGAACATGGCCCCGGCCGCCCCTTCCTCCAATGTCTCCAGAGGTCCGGGCCTCAGGCTGCGCACGAGAGATCTCAGGACCCTTAAATGCTGGCGGCCCAGCCTCGCGGCTTCAAGTCCTCTCTGGCCAGCTAAGCACGCCTGAAGGTTAGGCCCGGCTCGTAGGCCACCAGCAGGTCACCTCCAGGGACCACGAACCTAGAGAACATGCGATTTCCTGCCTGGGCCTCCTGACAACCACTGGACGGCTCAGGAGCCCTGGACGCTGCTTTCCAGTTCTCGCCGAGCCCAGAAAGGCCTGGAACCTGTCCGGTGGGGGCTCCTCGCCGGGAGGGAAACTGTGTCACAAGCCATTTATTTAGGACAAGAGGAGTAATGGCAAAGTCGGGGCAGGGTTTCACCGCCCCAAACCAGTTTCTCAGGCTGACCTTCCCACAGGGAGGCGCCGGTTAGGAAAGGCAGGGACAGCTGTCTTATCTCAATGTCGCCTACTGTCCCTGGAGACGGAGAGAAGCTACGTGCATTGCCCGAGGCCACTCAGGCCGTCCCGTGGGACTCGCAGCCAAGCTTCACCCACAGCCACCCACAGACAGAGTTGGGGGCCCCTCGCGAAACCGAAGACCGAGGCTCTCGCGCTGCTGTGCTGGTAGGCGGCTTGGGCCTGGGGGAGGCTCTGGAATGGCTGACCGCGGCCAGCAGGGGAGGGTCACGGGCAGCCTCTGGAACCCTCACGTGCAGGGCTTCTCCTCACCTGCCCACGCCGAGCTCAGCCCACAACGGGCAAGGACAGGGGAGGGGCGGGCTCTGTCCCCCTTCTGCTGACCCCACACCCACAGGAGAGAATTAGCACCTGCACTCCGGAGGGTGGTGAGCAGGGAGCCACAGGGGAGGCGGGGTCTGAGCGGGCCTGACGGCGCTGGCCAGGTGACCTTCCCAGGGCATGTGGGAGCCTGTCTGTGGTGACAGCCGACTTAGGCAGGCACTGCATGCCCGTCATAGCACCCACACCCCTCAGTGATGACGAAGTGGTCCCCCCGCCTGCTTCCCCTGCCGAGACCCTCCTGAGAAGCCATCAGAGCACGGGGCTGTGGGAGCTGCTGGGTGACGCCCTGAGGCAATGCTTCTGCCCCCACGAGGGAGCGGGGCCAGCAAGGGGGGTGCTGCTCCCGACGCAGGGGCGGCCTGGGCACCACTGGTCCCTCCGAGCGCCATCCCCCTCCTGGTCCACAGGGCTGTGACCGCCCAGATGTGACGGCCACAAGGCAGGACTCAGCGTCCGCACTGGGAAACAAGGGCAGTGAAACCAAGCGTGACAAAGGGACACCTCAGGGTCACACGGCACTCGGGCCAGGATCCCCCAGGCTGCAGAGCTCCCCAACCCTCTCTGCCCCGGGCGCTCCTGCGGACGGAGGGAGGTTACGACCCCACTGCTCAGGAGAGGAACGGAGGCCACCTCCTCAGACAGCTGGGGTGGGGGGGCGAGGTGGACAAGGGCACACATCCCTTCCCAGCTCTGTGCTCGGCAACCTCACTCTGGGGGCTGGAGACCGGCCGCAGCGGGAGAACTCACACCGGGGACAGGGCGGAGGCGCACATCGGTGCCGGGGCTTCTGCTGGAGCCCGGCTGCTGAGTGCCGGCCAGCGCGCCGCAGTTCCTGAAGCTCCAGAAGCCTGGGTCCCCAGGTGGCCGCCGGGCGGCTGGCCTCTCCCCGGTGCTGACTCCGCCAAAGACAGGCCCGGTGCTGGGCACGCACGGACCCTGGTCCCAGGCAGGAAACAGACCCGTCTCCACCCCGAGCGGCTCGCAGACACGCCACACAAGACGCCCGCTCTCTGCTTTCACCGCCCCGGGTAGACCTACTGTGTGCCAGGCGCGGTCCGAGGCACTGGGCCACAAGAGCGAAGCGCACAGCAGTGACCCCAGGAAGTGGAAGTCAGGAGGAATGACGGAGGTTAAAGGTCACGCCCTGGAAGAGCAGGTGACCCCAGTAACGCTGGCCCTCCTCGGCAGAGCTCTGAGAGGAAAGAGACCCATTTCACAGGTGGGCGAACAGGCTCAGAAACAGCTCGTGACTCGCCTAAGGTCGCGCGTAAATGGCAGAGCTGGGACGCAGGGAACTAGGTGCCTATAATTCCCCCAGACTTTAATGAACATTAGTTTTTACCCCAAAACAAAGTAATATTCATAGCATGATAAGACACTACGCATCTCAGCCCCTCTGCCAAGCAAACTCTGCCAGAACCAGTGGGCTCCCTTTTTGTAGACAAGGAAACCAGGGCTCAGAGAAACGGCTGTTCCCACACCCACTAGGAACCAGCAGCACTGGGGACCCAGCCCCGGACGCCGCTTGCCGGTCAGCAGGTGTATGGCCACACCCCTCAAAGCACGCTCAAGCGAGGTGCACTACACCATAGAAAACGAAGACAGTTTTTGACACGCGTTCCACTCGGGGTGGGGGTGGGGGTTATTAAAATGCAGTAACTCTCCAGGCAGAGTGCGGCTCGAACCCAAGTGCAGGGGAGGGAGGTCTGTGCGCAGACCGCGGGAGACGCGGGGGCGGGGGGGGCGATGAGTGGGGGCAGAGGCCAACATTCCGGGTCCCGTTTCAGACTCGGCCCCTCCGGGAACCTGAGGAAGCAGGACCCTGCTCTCAGCTGGGTCCCGGAGGCCAAGGGGGTGACATGGCCCGGCAGAGTGCGGCTCGAACCCAAGTGCAGGGGAGGGAGGTCTGTGCGCAGACCGCGGGAGACGCGGGGGCGGGGGGGGCGATGAGTGGGGGCAGAGGCCAACATTCCGGGTCCCGTTTCAGACTCAGCCCCTCCGGGAACCTGAGGAAGCAGGACTCTGCTCTCAGCTGGGTCCCAGAGGGCAAGGGGGTGACATGGCCTACTTGGCCAGCTGGCCTAACCATGCCTCCCCGTACCCTACGACTGCATTCCCGCCCCTCCGAACGCTGCGGCCACGGGCCCACCCTACTCCACCAGCCCGGGCACAGCTGCCACCACCTACAGGCCAGCGTCCAGTCCCCTTTGACTGACACACGAGGCCTCCTTGGTACCACCCCGCTGGGCCACCATCCCCTGTTCACCCCACGTTTCGGCCACTCCAAACTTCTCAGGGTCCCTCCCTGCCCCGGCCAGCTCACGGCTCATGCTCCTGCACGGAGGCCTCCCCTGCCTTTCCGCCCGGAACGCTCCTGGCTCGCCTTTCAAAGCCCAGTCCAGACACCACCTGCTCTGAGGCGCCCACGCACCCCCTCCTGTGGGCTCCTCAGCACCAGACGTCGGTCCCCCCATCAGGCTCGTCTCCTCAGACAAGGTGGTTGTCTCACTCGTGGCCAGTCCTCAGGCCTGGCAAAATGCCAGGACAAAGAGGATGCTCAAGAAATGTTTACAGAACTGAATTATCTGAAAATGTGTCTTAACACCTTATGTTCAATCTTGATGGCCCAGGTAGGACTTCGATGGACCAGAGACACAGACACAACCTAAGGGCCACCGTCTCTGGATGCCTTCATGTCTCGTATGGTCAAGAGAATCACAGGTCCCCTAACGTGCTCACACCCTCAGCCCGGAGCTGGAGCGTACGTTACCGGATGGGCAAAAGGGACTTTTCCAAAGCGATTGAGAGCTCTGAGATGAGGCCATCACCTTGGATTATCCAAACGAACCCGAT